TCATGCAAGCATTCAGCGCATTTTCATCATCAAGACTAAGCACTTCACCAATTCAAATCAACCATGTTAATGTGCAAATCAACCATGTTAATGTGCAAATCAACCATGTTACAAAAATTTGCTACCAAATAAATTATAACTTGACCAGTAGAGTGACTACAATTTTCTTGCTGGCACAAAAATTGCAGCCTGAGCAGCATGCTTGCAAGTTAAACTAAACCCCATCCCATTACAATCTAGTGCATTAGGCATTTATAGAATCCAAACGGCTAGAAACCCATGAGTGAGACCATTAGATCAGCAAGCTGCAGAACTAAATGAAACTACCCTGTTTTTCTGGTATGTTGACCAAATTATGAAAAGATGCATACCCTATCTTGGACCTAATTAATCGGCATTAGGTTTTATTCTTTCCATGACTCTTCCAGCTGTCGGTATTATTGTTATTTTTAATTTTTAAGCGACAATCCAAATCTAATTATTTAATAAAAGAATTTCATTGGCATTGTTTTTGTCATGTCTTTCGGTCTCCCAGGACTCGATGGCAATTGTCGGCTACCATTCTCTAGGACAATATCATACTCAATACCAATGATTGGTGCCAACGAAATTCGATTTGTAAATGATAAAAGTGTTTCATTGACATGGGCCGAACTATCCATATCAGTCGCTTGAACGCTAAAAAACAAACAATAGAAATGAGTTATTGTCATGTCTTCCGGACTCCTATGACTCAATGGCACTTGTCGCCACGCCAGGCATTCTCTAGGACCGTAACGTACGCTAATTGAAATCTTTAATTTGAACAATAGAATCATCGGTCTTCTTTTCACATGTAATGGTTCTATCAAAATCCTTTCTCTTGTTTTCTTTACAGGAGTTACGGCTCTTGTACCTTTCTATCTTCCTTTCTTTGTTGTTGTATTTGTAGGATGGATAACTCTTAGCTACTATGTATTTGTGTATAACCAGATTTGTCCTCTTGACTTTCAATCACATCAGATTCTAAGAGATCATGGGATTTAAAGATATTTTCCCTATTTTTTAATTGGATTTTATTTTCTTTCTTTTAACCAAATTTAAAAATTTTAAACAAATTGAATTGGTTCTGTGTAATCTAAAATTTATATCAAATTTATTCGTACTAATCGTTACCATCCTGGTACTACCTTCGTTTTTAACTCGAATTTTAAGAATTTTTACACAGAAGGAACAAGTTTATCGTCATCTATTATGATCGATAATTTATGGAAACAAATCTATAGTATAAAATATGTCTTCCTACACCTAACCTCCTTGGTATTAAGATGGCAAATAATGGTAGACGATCAAGATGCTCTGAATAGCATTATCGAAACAGAAATAGAACCATGTGCTCCGAACAACAACATGGCAATCAAGATGCTCCGAATAGCATCATCAAAACAGAAACACAACCACGTGCTCCGAACAAAAACCTGGCAATCAAGATGCTCCGAATAGCATCATCGAAACAAAAACATGTCAGAAATTCTCCGGACATCATTTATCAAACGGAGATGTTCCGAACAACATCATCAAACCGAAACAAAAAACCAAAGGGACGAAACCTATGGTTGTACCAAACCGAGACGAACTTAAACATCTCCGGCCGAAAACTTCTTTTATTAATCTCCACCATAAACTTGTAATGTATCAGAACAATATCCAGTAGAACCCATGGTATTGTTGCCAGCATCCAATTGCAAATTACATCAAATTCACCACCAATCCAATACACCGCTATCCCAAATTCATGTGATTAAAATAAAACCCAGTTGCAATGATAGACAAAGCCCTTCTTGATCTCCACTGTACTTAATCAAGCGAAGCCAAGTCTTTGTGCGAAAGCAACACAACATAAGCGGGAGTGTGGGACCAACCTAAAATTTGACTCCGTAAACACCGATGGGATTCTCAAGGCATTCAGTGGTGATCTAGGGTCAGTACCCAATAGTCAGTAGCGAGCAGGAAGGTGTGCGCGTAACCAACAATGCAAAGCAGAGACAGGCTGAAACTCAATTGGTGGCAAAAGGCGGAAGCAGCTTAACAAACAAAGGACTCTGGGAAGGGAATAATAGGGGAGGAGATTTCTTGTTTTTTTTCTTCAAAATTCCTAACCTATAACTAAGAACAAAAACAAGGGAAAGGGATCAGGTCAATGGTGGAACAATCATGATTTCCCGGGCGACTGTAGACTCGTGGCTGGTGGCGAAGGGGAGAAAGATAACGAAGGCTTTAGGATTTTTGGATGTGGGCAGGCTCTGATACCATGTTGGGAAATCAGAAGTACGGTGGAAGAAAGATGGAGCACTCCTCGCCTAAGCTGACCTTGGCGAGTTCTTCATATTTAGACAGGCTCTGATACCATGTTGGGAAATAAGAAGTATGGTTTCTTTTTAGGCAGCTTATTGAGTATAAAGGCGGAGCACTACTTGCCTAAGGTGACCTTGACGAGGCCTTCATATTTTGGTTTCTTGGCAAGAAGCCACTTGAGGTATTTTTCATACCTCGACATTTGCACCATGGCCTCCAGGAATGGAATGGTGATGCAGAGCTTCATGAGCATCTCCATGAATCCACCACATTCTGCCTCCAATCAGTTCTTGTGCATCCTTGTGGGGAAAGGAAGAGGAGGCTTGTACTCGCCACCATGCGGTGGCATGGACAATGCCTTCTTAGGCTCTTCTTTTGTTTCTCCCACCTCTTCGTGATCATTGGCTGTTGGAGGAGTCTTCTTTTCTTCCGTGATCACTTCCTTAGGAACAACCTCCGGGTTAACCTTTCCACTTCTCAAAACAATAGCATTGCAACCGACATTTTGATCTTTGAGGTTGAAAATAGTTTGAGAGGGTAGGGCTCCCCGTGGCCTCTCGGTGAGTATTCCGGCGAGATTTCCAATTTGCACCTCCAAGTTTTGAAGGCTTCTTAATCCCGCCACAACTTAAGTAAACTTTGTTGTTTCCACACCCATAAAATGCTAAATCTTCTCAAACTTTTGAGTGCTTGTGCTCACGAAGGTGGTCACAAGGTCTTCAAGTTTTACAAACATACCGGGTTGTTGGAACCCTTGACCGCCTTGAGTTTGAAATGAGTGTTGGAAGTTAGAGCCTTGGAATTGAAGTCTTTGTTCAATGAAAGTAGGCATTGGTTGATAATTTTTTGTTGGTCCTTGGAAACCGGGGGGTCTTGGGTTGGTAGGAGAAGACCAAGAGAAATTTGGATGATTTCTCCACCCCGGTTAGTAAGTGTTTCTATAGGGGTTGTTTCCCCTAGAATTGGCAATGAAACCCACTTGCTGCTCGGGGTGTTTGATTCATTCATCATTTGATACTCTGAAATCTCGTGATTGGTACTTGAACACCAATCACACGCGATTATCGGTCTCTTCCCATGCTTCTTGTCCTCTAGGAGTGCATCAATCAATCGATCAATCTTAGCTTCAAGCGGGGGACTCGCTCCTACACTTTGCACTCCTCTTGCAGTGCTTCTCTTTCCACTTTTTGTCAAACCCCAATCATACCTTTTACTTTCCATGTCTTCAACAACTCGGTCACTTAGGGTGGAGTCATGTTCATCAATTTTCCTTGAAATAATGAGTGAATGAGGATCTTGTCGTCTTGGTGGAGAGCGCCATATAAGGTCACAATCCGGAATTGCTCCTCGAATCCATGATGTGGGCATTGGAGGAAGAAGTTAGAGTATCTTTCCCAATCATTACTCAATGTCTCGTCTTCCTCTTTCTCAAAGTGGGTGATCTTCTAGCGCCACTCCGCCATATTTGAATGTGGGCAATACCGAGTTATAAACTTGTTGAGCATGTCATCCCACGAGGTGATCGAGAGAGCCCGTCTATTGTTGAGCCACCGAGACGCATTCCTTGCAAGAGAGTAGGGGAAAAGGCTCAACTTCAAAGCATACTCGGGAACCCCATTGATCTTCAAACTCCCGGCAAGTTTGATGAACTTCTGAACATGCTTCCTTGGAGACACATTACTAAGCGCATGAAACAGGGCATTGTTTTGGATCATGGTGACAAGGGCGGGCTTCATCTCGAAATTTTAGGAGGCCACGGGTGGATCTCGAATGGCGAGTTGAATATTCGCTGCCCTTGGGGCCATATAGTAGCCCATGGTCCTCGGTTGCTCCTGCCCATCCACTCCACCTAGAGCGGGTTGATTAGCCGTCATATCAGCTTCACTTCCTTTCTCTTCGGAATCAAACCCTTACTCAACTACAACTTTCTCTTCTATCCTCCTTCTTGCATCCACCGGTTCCCTATCACTAGAGCTGTCAAAATTGAATCCGACCCAATAACCCGCCCAACCCATCCGACCCATGATCTGTCCGTTACCCGTTTTGACTAAAAGTCAATGACCTGTAAACCTTCCGTAACTCGAACCCGATAAATCTGTTAACCGATTGACCCGTAACCTGATTGACCCATGACCCAATTGGGTTGTAATCCGACTAACCCGTAACTCGATCAAACCCGTAACCCGACCGAATCCGATCTGAATAACCCGAATAACCCAACTGACCCGAATTAGTTGATATCATTATAAATTTATAATTACATAAATCTAAACACGCGAAAGAATCCCACATCTATTTCACAATCATTTGTATCATAAATTTACGTTAATGTATATTCAACTTATATGTTATAATTCTTACCAAAGAAAACTTATGTGTTATAATTAATAGTTAAAATAATAAACTAATAAGCTTTGTGATCGTCAATTATTCTAATATGCTTTGATCTTGTCACTCCGTCGGAGATATGAAACATACATATGTTTTTATAATTTTTGTTAAACTATAGACTCATCTGCTCACACATAAAAAACCAATCTAAATATAAATTGGTAACAAAACATCGTAAGACATCAAATCATAAATGATAACATCCCAAAATCAATTTCGTTCAAATGAATAAACTGTGAAGATTCATTTATAAAGAGAACAAAACTACAAAAGATACTCCCAAAAGAATCGACAATCCATACTAATTAACATCCTCCAAATAATAGTAAATAGAAACTGTATCCATCAAACTAAAAATGTCTAAAGCAAAATGAGATTGGATCTGGCAATCAATCACGGCATAAGCTCCACTTCTTCTCCTCTGCTTTCTGCATCTTCTTCATCTTCTTCTTTATGTTGAACCATTCCAATAAAAAGCAATTATAAATACACCATACAAAATAAAAAGATAGTTATAACTTATAATCATAAATTACTTACCAAATTCATATCCATAAAGCCAATTGCGAGTAGTCACTACAGCTTCAAGGGTGTCACTTAGCATACTACTCCTCCATTTGTTTAATACTCTACCTCCCAAGCTAAAAGACGACTCTGAAGCAACTGATGTAATAGGAATACCAAGTATATCCTTTGCCATTCGAGAGAGTTGAGGGTAACGATATTGATGCTCCTTCCAATAATTTAAGACATCAAGATCATTAAGATACTCAACAACATCCTTTTCAAGCATACGAGGTTCCCTTGGATCTTCTAGATATATTTGCAATTCAGACTTGCCTAATGTATTCATGTTCACATTAAAAGTATCAAAATCCTACAAATAACAATACCATAAAGTCAGCATCATAAATATATTGATATGAAAAGTAGATTTTTAGGACGATTTCACTTCTCAAATTATAAATTATACTGGAAAAATGTGAAAGCACACTTTAAATTGCAACTTACACTAGTGAAGTTATCCATGCTCCAACTTGAACTAGTCCTTGTGCTTGAGGTACTGCTTCCGCCACTTGACATGGAAGACAAAGAAGAACTAATTTTGTACTCCTCAAAAAACATATTTAGTTGGTCACCAATATCCTTCCATTTCGAAGTGTAATCTCCACCCAATTTTCCATAAAGATACTGAACAAAATCAAGCTTGCAACGAGGATCGAGAATAACACCAAAAGCAAGCACTGCATTGTAATCCTCCCAATACTTCTCAAACTTTGACATCATCGCATTCCCCATAGTTTGCAGAACACCATCATAGCTTGTAGAAAGTTGTCTCAATTGGAAATGAATCTGGCAAACATTCTCAAAAAACAAATTGATTGTTGGGTACTTGGTACCTGAGAATAACTTGGTGATTGCATCAAAAGGTCTCAAGAGATTAGCCAGTACAATCATTTTCTCCCAATCTAGCGGTGTTGGACAATCCTTATAGTACTTATCAATCCTTGATAAATTCACAAAGGCTTCGCGATAATAAATTGCTCTGTCAAGCATCATAAAAGTTGAATTCCATCTTGTTGGTACATCAAGCCACAACCCTTTTGAACACTTCATTCCACCTTGTTCAACACACTCCCTAAATTGAATCTTTCTCCCTTCAGATCCCTCCACATATTTGACACTTTCTCTGACACATCTGATGCCATCCCTTATCACTTTCAACCCATCTTGGACAATAAGATTCAATATATGCCCACAACAACGAATATGGAAGAATTTTCCATCACTCAACAATGCCTTTTGTCTATTTAACAGCTCACGCAATTCATTTTGCATATTGGTCATGTTGCTAGCATTGTCCATTGTGATAGCAAAAATCTTATTGTCAATACCCCACTCCTTCAACATACGATAAATAGTAGTTTTCAACTCAAAAGCCGTATGTGGAGGAGGAACATGAGAAAAGTTCAAAAGCTTGCTATTCAACTTCCAATTCTCATCCACATAATGAGCAGTCAAGCAAAGAAAGCTTCTACTTGTCATGATGTCCACAGATCAGTAGTCAAACAAATACGACTAGAAATCTTCTGTAAATCTTCCTTTAATTCATCTTTCATTATTGCATGCTTCTTTACCACATCAGATTTCAATGTATTCCTTGAAATTGGCTTAACCATACCATTCAAATAAGCATGCAACGATCTATTTTTCTTATGCTCAACCCATCTGAATGGATAATCATGTGAAATCACTGCATCAATCAACTTATCACGAAATCCCTCTTGAGTTATCTTATTGTGACCACAAATACCACAAGAATCAGGTCCATTCTCTTCGTCAAATTCAGCAAAAATATTGTTTGACTAACGTGCTGGTTTATGAGTATAGCTATGTCGCCTTAGGTTTGATGTGCCCAAGTTAGAATCAGCGAAATACTCTTTGTCACAAGTTAAGCACCTTGCTTTCTTTCTTGCCTTTCCCTCATGCACGCAATCGAACAAATCAAAATCTCCCCAAACATCCGATGTGCGACGAGAACCAGACTTGTTTGGACCAGATTTCCTTGATCTTGATATTGGGTTTGAACATGTAACAGACACGTTCTCTTCATGCTGTTGTGGGTCAATATTACCTTCACCCGAGACATTAACATCCATAACTATCTGCACAAATAGTGAAATAGAGACTATTTTTAAATGGGAGCCAGCGAGTAGTGCCGAAGGAATAAACAACAAATATTATTTATGAACAATAAATATCTTGAAAAAAAAATACACAAGTGACTGCCAAGTGCGGAGTAAGCTACGTCGGCGAGAAGGTGAAATATAGTGAACGTACAAAATATAAAAAAACAAGTAGACTGGTTGGAGAGACGAACCAGCTTGAATTGAAACTCTCTTCTGTAGTTCTGTGTTTCTATCCCGTCGACGGAGAAAGAGAATATACGCCGCAAAGCTTTACCAAAACAAAGAAGAAAGGTAAAAGTTGTGAAGGAACACTATGTTTTGTACTTTTCCACAACGCAAACAGAGAGCGTCGGCGGGGGGCTTTTGCAGTTTTGCACTTTTGCTTTATCAGTTCTCAATTTATTGGAGAAAATAAAGTGGCGGGAGCTGGAGTGCTGCAGGACGCGGAAGCAGGGGAAAAGAAAATGGGAAAGGTAAAAAGCTAAAAAATAATAATATAAATGCCAAATAGTGAGGATTTGTTTTACGTGGATTGATGATTTTGGTGTTTTAGTTACACACTTAACTTGAATTAATGGTCATGATTAAAATAGTGCATGAATGGAGGGTTGAGATCAAGATTTTTTTGGCGAAATCAAGAATTTTTTTAGCTTAAATTTGGGGGTTTTTAAACCTTTTCAACATATGATAAATAATGAAATAAATATAAAAATTATCCAGGACCAATACCATTACGTATTATCATTTTTCTGATTTCTCCTAATCTGGCGAGTTGCCGTGAGAAAGAAGAAGTAAACAAAGCTTATTGAAAAAGAGAAGATAAATGCACACGTTCATCTCTTGCGTAATATTTTTACATACTTGTGGCCTTTTTTACTCTATATATGTTTAATTATATATCTGGTCACTTCCATATAATATTTTATAGTAACATAATAAGTTAATAACATGTTAGTGTATACTTTATACATATACTATTAGTCCTAGGCACGTGGCTATTGTCTCATTGAGGCCAAAGTTTAGAATGAGATCAAAATTAATGTTACCCTAAGACAATTTGTACATATATGTTATGGTACAAACTTGAAGTTGTACAAATACAAGTTCAGGTTGTACCATAAGAGAATTTATACCTTTATGTTATTGTACCATAACATATAGGTACATATTTAGTTTGTATCATAAAGGTATTTGTACAAAAGAGTAATGTAAAAGGTATCACTTCAATTTGTACCACAAAGGCAAAAAAATAAATCATCAATACTTCAAAGAATTGTAAATTCTTTATGTGAAGAAATGTGTCCAAAAGAACTAAGGTTGATACCATTCAGATGAAATCCCCAAAATCAATGAAATCAATGATCCTATCAAGATATATAAGTGGATAGTTTACACTTTTTACTTCATTCTCAACATTTACTGATTTTATTTATTTTTTATAAATTAATAAATCGACGATTCGAACTAGATGATAATATCATATTTGAGCAAACCGTTGTTCGACCCATGAGTCTTAGGATGAGATGTTACCGTGAATATATAAAAAATTGTGAAGATATATAAGTGGCTGATTCGGAATGATGTTCATAAGTCTTCGTGAAAATGAAAAGACACACATCTAGTTCATACTATATTTAATTAAAACGATTCATTTCGAGATGTATAAGCATATAGTCTAGCTTTTTTACTTCATTCTCAAATTTTTACTGATTCAATTTTTTTATAAATTAATAAAATAAGTGAAGTTACAATCTCTCGCCATAAACAAAAAAAAATTATAACCAACAACAAAGCTTTTATATACACTATTTTATTTATATTTAGTTTTTATACTAACATAATGGATATTTAATTTGTATGTTTAAAATATTATCATATTATCATTTTCTTAAAAATTTTATCATTACCTACAATTTATATTCATATATTGATAGTTTGTAAAACATTATTTTCTGTCAAGAAGTAAATTATCCAATGGGTTGACCCGAATAACCCATAATCCGACCTGACCGAACCCGAATTAACCCACAATCCAATAAACCCGTAATTTGATGCACCCGTAACCCGACCCGATCCGTAACCCAATTGACCTGTGACCTGATTGACTCGTAACCCAATTGACCTGCAACCCAATTACACCCGATCCAAATTGAAACCGACCCGATTGAACTCGCAACCCGATTGAACCCAATCCGATTAGACCCAATCCGAACCCGACCCAACCCGCCCAATTGACACCTCTACCTATCACGAGCCAATAGCCGGAGAGTGCGGTTGAGATTCTCGTCGAGTGGCGTCTAAGGACCAAGTATACTCAAACTATTGATTAAAAAGAATAACAAAAGCCAATTATTAGGAAAATATTGAAACGAAGATTGTATGCAATTTGAAGAGTTCAAACTAGCTGACGAAGATCAGACGACAGAAATTAAAAGAAAGAAAAAAAAACGGGATTTTTCTAATTCATTTCACTGAGCGGAAGCAACAAAGTAACTTCTCTAGATGTAGCATGACATAGATAACTGGAAAACGTTGACATGTTTCTCGCAAAATGAAAGTAAAGTGCGAAGCAACATCTACCTAACAACAAACTACGGGGAATCATCCACTAATGGTTTTCTCATTCTTGAATTCAAACCAATTTCCTTAGTTTTGCTTCATTAATCAATTTGCTAATCGACATCATACCTTGTTGGCTAGACAATAGTCCAGTTCACAAATTAATAGTAGACCTAGTGCCGGGTTAACTATTTACTACTTACTTCCCTATACTATTTCACCTCTTTCCAACAAGAGGAAGAAGAGCCACTTTTCGAAGAAAGAGAATGCTTTACGTGACTCTTTCTTAGGTGTCCACTCCACTCCACGGTTTTGCCGATATAACAATGTTGTTGGATGATATCTTCTTTGGACGACCCACCCAACTCAGAATCGCTTTGGCTTCCCTGTATGTTGGAGTTCGAGAACCACGTATGTCGAGGGCGGCTGCTGCATGCGGGTAAAGTAGGTTCAGAATCCAAGTGGCGTCTGATGGGATACCGGCCCTGATGTCGACGAGTGGTGGCTTCTGGTGACGCTTCAATTTCCGCCGAAGGAACAAATTTTTTGACTTGATAGACATTTGATCCGTAATGAACAGGGATAAGCTCTGGTATGCTCGAATCCTTCTTAATTCTGATACGTGCGAAGGGTAATGACCAAGAGTCCCAGTCGAGATCGACGAAACCTCCGCAGTAATTGCAAATAGCTTTGAGCAATTCGGTGCTTTTGAGATGGAGCGGGATGTTGAAAGCCAGAATCCATCCAACTGACTCAAGAGAGTGATTGTTAAAGGCCTCCCGACTGCTCACCTTGATCGGGAAATCCTTGAACTGAACTCGCTCGATTTTACGAATGCGCATAGCGTTAGCGATGGACGGGCATATGAGGAACCAGCTGCCATTGGAACGATCTTCTAGAGCAAAATTGTCGTCAATTGCCCAGGCTTTTGAAGCCCATTTCCAAAATTCAGGCACCAAACTTTTACTAAAAATGGTGTTGCTGCTGGTTTCGAACGATATGAGTAAACTCGTGTCAAGAATGTCTGTCTGCTCCTTGATCCCTTCACAACCAACTTCAATGTATCTTCCCTCATGATTGGTACTGATGGAGCACCTTCCTCCTCCGTAGAAACCCCCGTATTTGACTGCATCAGCGTAAGATTGCAGATGACGATCAGCCTGAATGACACCCTCATTCAGGGTATTGGTCACGCTTAGATCATGATGGAAGCGGGCACGAAGTTCAGCTTTGTAAAAAGCTTGAAGGAGATGAATCGTCTTGGCCCAGCCGCGATTGTTGCCCGAGGACGGGATAATCACTTTGAAATCTCTACCCGTGCTTGATTGTTCGGATATCTGTAGGTACTCTCCTCGATATCTGCTAAACTTCCCGATGTGGATGGATCGATGACTACTCTTCTTGACACAGTGGGAGGGGAATTTCCAGTCCCTCATAGCCGGCGTTTGCAGGGTCCCTTGGAGCCATATAATTTGACTTTCTTCTAAGAAGACAAACCATCTCCTTCTGTTGTCTTCCACCTGAAGTTTGAACACCTCTTCTGCT